CACACACACACACCCAATTCCTACTGTCCTTACAGGACACTTTGTCCTGATAGTCCTGTGCTGTGGCAGGTACATGTAGTGTACAACATTCAAAAGTGTGAAGACTTCTGAGCACAGTCATAAGATCAAACAAAACAGTATTATGTCTAGAAGTAAAATCATGATATTACAAGAATACTGTCAACTTACAATGTCATCCTTTAATGTTGACGGAGCTGCCCTGACCTCTGTCATCAAATCACGACCGCTGCACACCTCCTGTGACTGAGTCAATGACAGGCACAAATGTGAGTTTATTTTAAGCTGAAATAATTCATTTTCATTCTGCAAACACTGTATTGCAACACTGGCCATGAGTATGGCAGAAATGTCAGTTAATAGTCAGCAGGGAAAAAGGAAGACCGGAATAATGAACTTGTACTATAAAATTCTAAAGACCAAAACCAATTCTACTGTATTGAAGGTGACACATAAAGCGAACTAACTATGATGGCACAAACTACAACTTGCCTTTTCTGAGCCTGGCTCACTTTCTCTCAACTTCGGGTGAGATTGTTCTTCACCGGGTGCCTGAAATTGTAAAGAGGAAATGTACTGTTTATTCACTTGACTGGCAGCACTATCACTTAGTGGTCTTTAAGAAAGAAAGACAGGTGATAATTATGTTCATATTCACCTCAAAAGGTACCGCCCAGCCCCACTCTTGACCAATCAAATTACTCAAAAATAACTGTTGTATAAAATAAATTATAGTTAACACTGTCATTAAGAGAACATGAGACCTTTATCTCACCATTGAGCGCCATGGCCAAGAGGAATCGCCATAGTTATATGTGATCTCCTCGCCTGGAAAGATTTCCTTGACAGCAAAAAGACACAAGTGTGGCTTTCCTTGGACCATTATTCTTTTGACATTACAGTTGGGCTGTATGTGATCGTCATTCACTAGTCGTCCCAGTGTTCCATCCTCTTTTGAAGCGTCTATGCTGTGAGACAAATAGACCAGAAAAAAAAACTTTAAACTTTGCTTGGGTTAAATCCTTAAATTGTCATGAGAGAAAAAAGACCTTCAGCCCAGCCTTGGCTTTTATGTAAAACACAAACTTTTTTAAAAACACATACGTATACTATTACACCTTTCTCACTAGCATATTGTGCAACAAAAGCCCTTTTTTTGTTAGACAGCTGCAGTCTTGTCATTTTCTCTTCCAAAACAGTTGGTTACTTCATCATATGATTTAACACCCTCTCATTTGTCAGTGTTTCCCCTAGTTGTTTTTGCTTTGGTGCGGGGGGGCTGGATGAGGGTAGTCGGGGGGTGATCCTAGGACCTTCTGCCCACAGGACCCCATTACAAGAGCATTTGTACCTGACAAACATTTTACACAGATTTGTGTTCACATTTTTTATTTTAGCAATGGAACACTATTTTTCGGCTCCGCCTCGACATACTTAAATGATACTCGAAGTTTACTCAAAGATGCCTTATAACTTTAACTATATATAAAGCAGAGACCTGCACTGGGTCGGGTACCTGCTGATTTGCGCATGTTTTTTTTTTTTAAAAATGTTTTCCCAGGTTCGGATCTGGGTGGAAAAAATAATATGCAGGTCGGATCGCAGGTTTTTAGATAAACACATCAAAATTAATATAAAAAAAATAATAATTGAGCTAAAAACTAATCTTTTTAGTTAGTTTGGTAAACTACAGATATCTTGGTCATTATTTACTCTCTGAGGATTGCTTCAGCTATTTCGCCACGGTCATTGGTTCAGCTGTTTACACGTGTTTCACCATCTAATAACACAATTTGTGATTGGACTATAGAATCAATATGGCTGCCACCTTCTTACAAGCGCCGCTTCCAAAACAGTAAATAATTATTTAGGTATTTGAGAATTAAGTGGATAAAACGTACAACTATCACTTTATAATGTTTCTGAAGTGTTTCCCTGATGGATTACTTCTCTCCTCGATGGATTCTAAAAACACGTGACAGCTTGTAACTGTTGAACGTTGCTCTGGACAGAAAGTAAGTCTGTTATTACACATGTAAAGTTCCTTTACAAAGATTAAAAGTTTAAAAGCATTAAACGTAACAAACGAGTGCTTTTACACTCGTATGGGAGAAGAACACAGAGGGTTGATGATGGAGCTGAAGTCAGGTTTTTATTGTGAGAGCTGCTTCATTCAGGTTGTTGTTTACTCACTGGCACCTTAACTGTGGCGATATGCTGTTCAATATTCAGCCAATATGACCCAAAATGATTACTTTAAATCCGGGTTACGGGTTGGGCTGCGGGTCGTGTTTCAACGGGTCGGACCGGGTGCGGTTTTGTACGTCCCTGGGTGGGGGCGGGGCGGATCTTGAAAATTGGACCCGTGCAGGACTCTGATATAAAGTATGCCTCCTCTGTATGGATAGAAAATTCAGTCACAACAAAATAATCTCTCTATATAATCAAAGATTATATAAGTTGTTGCAAAGATTGCATTAAATGCGTATTGCAAGTTGTGAAGAGACACTCGGCACATTTTATTTTAAATCAGCAGCTGCAGACTAAACTGCTGCAAAAATGCGTAAAAAGTAAATTGTCATGAGCCAGAAATAGATTAAGGGATTTTCCCTGTTTGTTTTCAAAGAGTTTTTATTCCATTATATTTCAATCGCATATAGTGAACGGACATGATTTGATTTCAAATTGGCAGCATGCTGTGTTATTAAAATGGTATGAGCCAGTCCAGATGTGTTTATTTGTTTGCAAATTGTTTTATCTGTATGTATAGGCCTTCAGTTTCTTTATGTTCATGTTAGAAGAGTGCAGGCTTGTGCAATATTTATTTATTTATTCAAGTTACGCACTGAGTTAATTGACAGGACTCATTTTATTTGAAATTACTGACTTTTCAATAAAAAAGATTATAAACTGACATGCCTATCAATTGCATATCAATTATTTTTAGGCTCAATAAATTCTGATAATATTTGACCGTAATTTCAAACATTTGTCCGGTAAATTGAAAACCAACTGGTCACGCTGTCCGGTGCCAATTTTTTTTTTTTTTTTTTTAGGGGAAACACTGACAACCAGATGCCAACCCATCAATCAAACAGTCCTACAATTTCAATCTCTCTGTAAAGCACTTTGGTCCAGCATTTGTTTTTAAATGTACCCACAAATAAAACTACAACTTCAAATAAGACGAGCAACACTTTGAAAAAAAAAAAATACATATGAGTAAATGAACAAGCAGCAAACTTACCAGTAGCGCTTCCCATTCCACATGAAATCGAATATATATTTGCTTTTGTCATCTGCTCCTGCACTCAGGGACAAAACTCCCCTGTACTCCACCACAAAACTTTTTGGTTCGATGTATTCCTGTGTAAACACACCTCTCCCTGAAGAAAAGAAAGAAAGAAAACATTAACATAAGTTACTACTTCTAAGACCACCAACCTCATTTATGGCTTCTTTTCAAAGAGAAATTTAGACAGAGAGGAAGACCGACAACAACAATTTATAAGCGCCTTTAAAAAAAACAGAGTTAGTAAGTGCTGTTAATAAAAATTAGTGATGGCCAAATGAAGCCTGGTGAAGCATTTTCTTTATTTTCTGAGCCCACTAGATGGCGCTTTTTGTTCATCAAAAGGTTGAAAGCACACTGAATTGCCATTCTTTGAGCCTCTTTCTTTAAGCGATGAGTGCCAACTAGTGGGCTCAGAAAATAAAGAACATGCTTCATGAGGCTTCAATTGGCCATGACTAATAAAAATAATAAAACAAAATGTTAATGACTACAATCCAGAATAAAATGAAAAAATGAAAAAGACTTACAATTACAATCAGTTCATATAAGCCATTCAATGAAAGCAAATCTTATTTTAAGAGGTAAAGGAAGACAATGTATGGGTATATGGCATGTAGGTAGCAATCTGGGTGGGGTGCCCACATACAGTATATCACATAAGTGAGTACACCCCTCCCATTTTTGCAAATATTTCATTATATCTTTTCATGGGACAACACTATAGAAATGACACTTTGATATAACTTAAAGTAGTCAGTGTACAGCTTGTATAGTAGTATAGATTTACCTTCCTTTGAAAATTACTCAAAACACAGCCATCAACTTCTAAACAGCTGGCAACATAATTGATTACACCCCACAGTGAACATGTCCAAATTGTGCCTAAAGTGTCAATATTTTGTGTGCCAACCATTATTATCTAGCACTGCCTTAACCCTTTTGGGCATGGACTTCACCAGAGCTCACAGGTTGCTTCAGGAATCCTCTCCCACTCCTCCATGATGACATCATGGAGCAGATGGATGTGAAGACACCTTGCGCTACCCCACCTTCAGCTTGAGGATGGCCCACAGGTGCACAGGTGAGTTTAGGGCTGGATACATACTTGGCCAGTCCATCACCTTCACCTTCAGCTTCCTCAGCAAGGCAGTTGTCATCTACTAGGTGTGTTTTGGGTCATTATCATGTTGGAAAACTGCATTGCAGCTCAGTTTCTGAAGGGGGGCGAGCATGCTCTGCTTGGAATTTATGTTTCACTAAATGAACCGAGCTCCCCAGAGCCGGCAGCACTCATGCAGTCCCAAACCATGATGCTGCCACCACTATACTTGACTGTAGACAAAGGACAGTTGTCTTGGTGCTCTTTCAGCATGTGTGGCACCTTGGTGAAGAGCACCAAGACAACTGTCCTTTGCCTACAGTCAAGTATAGTGGTGGCAGCACTCATGCAGCCCCAAACCATGATGCTGCCACCACTATACTTGCCTGTAGGCAAGGGACAGTTGTCTTGGTGCTCTTCACCAAGGTGCCACACATGCTGAAAGAGCACCAAGACAACTGTCCCTTGCCTACAGGCAAGTATAGTGGTGGCAGCATCATGGTTTAGGGCCGCATGAGTGCTGCCACCACTATACTTGCCTGTAGGCAAAGGACAGTTGTGGTTGGTTGGACATGTTCACTGTGGGGTGTACTCACTTATGTTGCCAGCTGTTTAGATGTTGATGGCTGTGTTTTGAGTCATTTTCATAGGAAGGTAAATCTATACTACTATACAAGCTGTACACTGACTACTTTAAGTTATATCAAAGTGTCATTTCTATAGTGTTGTCCCATGAAAAGATAAAATTAAATATTTGCAAAAATGAGAGGGGTGTACTCACTTATGTGAGATACTGTATATTACAAGCAGTACATTTGGTGAACATTTTTTTATTTGCATAATCAACATAGAATCCTATCTATAATAAACTCTACACTTGCATGTTAATGTGTTAATTAATAGTAACATGACACTTTTTAACTTGAAGATGATTTAAAGGATTAGTTAAAGCAGCTGTAAGTGGTTTGATGGTTTGGGATAACTTTCTATAATTTTGCCCGCTCTCTTATAGTGCTGCACGATTGATCTAATCGCAATCGCGATGTCAGGCTGTGCGATTACATAACCGCATAAAAGGCTGCAATTTGCGATTTAATGTAGGCTAAATAAATGTTAACGTGTGTGCCTGTGAACGTGACTGCCTCTCCTGTAGTGTGTGGAGTTTGTTGACTTCACGCCCAAAAGCTATCCTGATGCGTGCAGCCGGCGTGCAGCAGTGACCAACACAGACGCTGAAGAAGAGCATGAGCTCGACCATGAACAGCCTGAGTTGGTGGCGAAAAAAACGTCTGTTACATGGCAATACTTTGGATTCAGGTACGGCAACGTTGAACAGAAAGACGTGCTGTGTAAGTGTAAAAGTTAAAGTCGCCATGTCCCGCAGCAACACGACCAATCTATACTCAACACTCAAGACAGCACAGCACAGGGAAAAGTAGGAAGAGTGCATGCGAGAGAAAGCCAAGCCAAGTAATGTTAAAGACAGTGAGACAACTGAAAGCCACCAGAGCCTCATAAAACAACATCCAAGCACAGTTAAGCAAACATTTGAAAGTGTCACAGTGTAACAAATGAAAAATTGAGCAATTTTGATTGGGTTCGGCCCACTTGACATGCTGCTGTGTTGTGCTATGGCGTGCTGAAATTTGTCATTTACGTGACAACGCCTGAATGCAACACAGGCTCGCGTCGCTGTGTGTACAGTTCCATGCTGGCAGCTGTGTGAGCAGCGTGTTTGACTGTGCTCAGTCTGTTGATGGTCATTGACACACTGTCTGTCCATAACAATAACTCTGTCAGGTCAGTGCCCCCCCTAATATAATGTAGGGGAAACACTGAATCAAGCAACAAGACTCAAGATACCATTTATTTATTAAATTGTAATCACAATCGCAAATCGCGATATTGTCCACTCAAATCACAATCGAACATTTTTATCAAACCGTGCAGCACTACTCTTTTTCTCACCTGATTAGATAGATGCAGTAGGGGAGAAGGAGAATCTAAAACTCTGCTTACTGCAGAGCAGTGTGACTGAGGGATCTGTGTCACAGACCAAACACTATCAGTGAGCCCATTTACATGCACGCAATAATCTGATATCTGTGAATATTCTAGTAATGTTAATAATCTGACTCAACACGTTTGCATGTACTTCTGTATGGCGTTAACAGAAAAAAAAACATTTACATGATTTAGTCAATAATTGGATTTCTTTCCACAAGTAGATGATGGTCTGTGTGTGTTGTTCATTTCAGAGCATGTGCAAAAAAGAGGCAAGGGGATGGGGAGAAACATTCTGCTTGTGCCGGGCATAGTTGTATAAATGTAGATGCTACCTTCCGTGTATAACTTACAGTATATCAGTGTGGGGACTCACTGCGCTGTTCATGACAGCTCCGCTAGACTCTCTACGCATGGTAACCATCGAAACGACATCTGCCTGGTACTTTATCCTTGCAAATACAGTACAGGCCAAAAGTTTGGACACACCTTCTCATTCAATGCGTTTTCTGTATTTTCATGACTATTTACATTGTAGATTCTCACTGAAGGCATCAAAACTATGAATGAACACATGTGGAGTTATGTACTTAACAAAAAAAGGTGAAATAACTGAAAACATGTTTTATATTCTAGTTTCTTCAAAATAGCCACCCTTTGCTCTGATTACTGCTTTGCACACTCTTGGCATTCTCTCCATGAGCTTCAAGAGGTAGTCACCTGAAATG